ACTTCCATGGTGGCAGGCAACCGTGTCCCCTCTGCCGCTGCAGGCCTTTGGCAAGGACACCTTTATAGCCCTGCCTCAGCTGGTGACTCACAAATTCTTCAGGGCAGGGGCAAGGGCAGAGGAGCGAGGGACTGGGGGTGAGGGGACAGTGGTCCTCCGGGTGTGAAATTTGTCCCAGTTGTGTAAACAGAGGGTTGGGGGGAGGCCGAGGGCGGAGGGGCTTCAATCTCTGGTGGAAAAGCAAAACACAGAAGGGAAAAGTTAGACACCATTTGTGAGAAAATCCCCAGGGGGGAACAGGGGAGGGCAGAGACAATTAACAAGGATGATTAAGTGCTCTTTGTAGCTATTTGCATAAGGGAGGGGGGATGTGGGGAAGGGATGGCAAGTGCTAGGGCAGATGATGGCCATGGGATGGGACAGCCTGATGGGTATGCCATGAGGACAGTGTGGTGGGCTTGTGATGGGGGACAGCGCAATGGACATGATGAGGACCATGTGATGGGCATGATCTGGGATCAGCGTGATGGGCTGCAGTGGTGGCAGGCACAGAGCAACCAGGAGGCAGGTGATGGGATGCTCAAGAGAGGACAGGGGGGGAAGATGGATGGCAGGGGTGGACCCCAGGCGCAGGCAGGGCAATGGTCCTGCTCAGACATCCATGGCCCCTGCTCGGATTGCCCTGGGGAGGTGCCAGGCCCCATTCCTGCGCTGCCAGCACAGTGGGGAGAGCACACGCTTGCCCATGCTCCCTGCCGTCTCCTTTGGTTTTTTGAGATGTGGACCGTACTGGGAGGTACAGAACAGCTTCTTGATACAAGGGTGCAAGGCTCACCCCCCATACCTCCAGCACAGCCACACGTCCTGTCCCTGCCCTCTGCTCCTGCCCGAGTGCTCAAGGCAAGGTGCAACTGGCAGACAAGTCACCTCCTGCTCCCGGGTGTCAATTTGAGACAAGGAAAGAAAATAGCAAATGGCCCATGCTGTAGCTCTGCTATCAGCATGGAAACACTCCTGTCCAAACGCCAGCCAGACCCTGCTCAGCTCCAAGCACAATTTGTCACCAGGGGCCCTCTCTGCCCCTCTCCATCTGCAGCAGCCGGTGAGCAGGAGGGGGCACGGGGCCAGCGCAGCCCTCATTACTGTCTCCATTTGCTCATCATTTGGGCTAGGACTCTTACAACAACAAACCCCGCAGAGGGCAAACAGGGCCAGGAGAAGCGGACCGAAAGCCCAAGCTCACCCAGCAGGCATGGGGAGTTCAACCTGCTGGCATTTCACTGCCCCCTGGCCCCAGCATGGGGGATGCAGCCCAAAGAGGACATCCCACATGGACAGTGGCACGCAGTCACTCGCCAGCCACCAAGGCTGGCCAGAAAGGTGACAGCAAGCCACAGACCTGAGCCACTTAGGCAAATCTACCCTGATAATTGATAGACAACAAGCAAAACGAGGCATCCCAGCTCCCCAATCCTTCCCGACACTGAAAGGGTTTAATTCTGATCTGCAATAAGCCTCTGAACCAGGCTGAGATTTGCAGGTGGATTTCGCAAAGCTGTAGCTAAACAATTCACAGCCCCTGATCCCCTGGGCCGGGGCCCCGGCTGCTCGCCCTGCCCCGACCAGCTACCTCCGGTCCTGGGTGACCCCCAGCCGCAGCCACCCTCAGTCCTGCACCGTGTCTCCAACTACCTCCGTAAGTACCGCAGAGCTCCAGCATGACCCTCCCATGCCTTTTTGCCAGCACCCCGAGCACCTCAGGTGGTTTTTTTGCAGCAACACCCCTGACACAGAGCAGGATTTCTTGGTTAGTGCACAGGAAAGGAGACAGAAAGTTGGGAAATTTTGGTACCAAGCATTTGAGGTGCCAGCGGAGGGATGGGGAGAGGAGTGAAGGCACTGGGCGGTGGCAGCACCATCAGCCAGAAGCATTCCCAGGGCGAGAGGCTGCAAGCCACAGTGTCAGCACGGTGCTGGCATGGGCTCAACCTGGTTTCACAAGATGGGAGGGGGAATTTCGAAACAAGGCAGAGGGAAAACAAACCACCCTGCTCCACCACCTCTGCCAAACATCCCTGCACACATCCAGGGCTGCAGGCAGGAGATGGCACCAGCAGAAAATCCCCCACCATCGGCAGCGAGCGCAAGCTGCACCCTGGTGTGCTTACCCCACCAAGGGACGGGCCACCCAGCTTGGCCGGGATGCTCCCGGGAAGCATCCCTGAGGCATTGCCAGTGTGCTTTGCCCTGATGTAATTCTACCCACCGTGGACCTCCGGGCTCTCCTGAGGATGGAGGCATCACTGTCACATGCATCCCTTTCCATCATTGTGCCCAGCGGTACGGAAAGGCTGATAGCCATGGTTCAACCTCAGGTGGGTGCATCCTGTTGTCCTGGAGCCTCAGCAGCTCAGGGTGGGCGCTGGGTGGCTGCAGATGCCTTGGGTGAGCCCTGTGCAGATGGGGACGAGGTGCAATCCCCACACCTCGGCTGCAGGAGCCTCAGGGCCACCACCTGAAATCACCTCTAGCAGGTCCCAAATAACATGGCACAGCTGTACCTTTTTGGCTTCCTTGGCTCAGGACATCACAGAAGCCAAGGGACCCCCAGGAAGGCAGCGGGCATTTCCCCCTGCCAGCAGCCAGCTCTCCATCCCTGCCCGCAGCCCCAGCGCAAGGGAGGGCTTTGGTGTCCTTCCCAGGCAGTGCTGCTCTGCCTCTGAAGTCTGGCTGGGGAGATAGCGGAGGTGAAAGGGCGCTTGGCGCTCCTCCACGGGCTTGGGTCAATCGTTAATCAGGGAGGGATTGCTTTCCACTCTTGCAGGTAACCTCTCCTCCCCCTAGCTCCCACTCACGTGCTGGTGCCCACACAAAACCAGTACCCCCGGGAGTGGGGTGGAGCTGCAGCGCGGTGAGCGGAGCCGCTGGCAGGGCCCTGGGAAGGTAAGCACACAGGAGAAAGCTGCTGGCGAGCCAGGCGAGAAGCTGCAAGCCCCAAGGAGGGGACAGCCAGCCCCCATCATGGTCTCCATGGGACTCCAGCTGCTGGGCTACGCCGTGGCCTTCCTAGGCTACATCGGCACGCTGACGACCACGCTGCTGCCCAGCTGGAAGACCAGCTCCTACGTTGGCTCCAGCATTGTGACAGCCGTGAGCTTCACCAAGGGGCTGTGGATGGAGTGTGCCACATACAGCACGGGCATCACCCAGTGCGACATCTACAGCTCCCTGCTCAACCTGCCCACCGACATCCAAGCAGCCCAAGCCTTGATGGTGAGCTCCTGCACCGTCTCCTCCCTCGCCTGCCTCCTCACCATTGTGGGCATGAGGTGCACCGTCTTCAGCCAGGGCTCGCCAGGCAAGGACCGGGTTGCGGTGGCAGGCGGTGCGGTCTTCATCCTCGGAGGGTTGCTCTGCTTCATCCCACTGGTGTGGAACATCCACATGGTGCTGCGGGATTTCCGTAATCCTGTTCTCCCTGACAGCATGAAGTTCGAGCTTGGGGAGGCACTTTACCTGGGCATCATCTCCTCCCTTCTCTCCCTCGTTGGCGGCTTCATCCTCTGCACCTCCTGCCCTGCCCGGGACCCAACAGCCACCTATGGAAGCACCTATATGGAAGCCCCTACCAGCCCCGGCTGCTGGCAGGCAAGAGCCCCCAGCCCTCTGTCAGCCAGACACAGAAGACCAAGAGTGAGCTCAACTCCTACAACCTGACGGGATACGTGTAGCAGCTGCAGGTGGGAACAGGGCTGGCACCTCTCCTGGCTTCCCAAAGCATCGGGGCTAGCACTGAGGGAGTGCAGTACGAGGAGAGGACACAGTGGCATCTCCTGCGCTCAGCCCTCTTGCTCACATGCTTGGGGGGGTTGACCCAGCTCTCTCCCCGGGGATCCCGAGAGCCTTGTGACTGCTCGAGATCCCAGCTGGTGGCTTACATCAGTGAAGGACCCCGAATCTGGCTTCTGTTCCCTCCTTTGTGCTGCCAGCCCACAGGCAGCCTCTGGCACAGTGGGACACCAGCCCACAGCCCCAGCAAGCCTGCCTGGATGTGGGTGGGTGGGCTTGTGCCCCCAGGGACCAGCCCGCTGGCTGCGGAGGCATCACAGCGGGATCAGGGCATCTGCGTGGGTCCAGAGTTGCCGCTGGTGGGGCTGAGTGCTGGTTGCAAATCGATGTTGCAATAAATCTGTGTTTCTAGCCAGGCTGTGGCTGAGCTTTCCTCCAGTACCGAGGGGCCTTGGCAGCTCCCCCAGCAGCGTGGGCTGTGGTAGG